TGTGTGTGTGTGTGTGTGTGTGTGTGTGTGTGTGTGTGTGTGTGTGTTGGGGGGAATCAGTCCTGTAGGTCTACTTTCTCCTCCCTCAATGGTGCCCTGGGGACAGCAAAACAAGCTGCCTACAGTGTGAGGAAGCAGGGCCAACAATTATCTGGAGTGATTTTATGTAATCAAGTGAATTAGGGGCCAAATCTGACTGTGGCTCCCATCATCTTGAGGCAATTGATTCTGGGGCAGGAAAAGGGGGTCTAGTTGTGCTTGGGGGAAGGAAAGGAAGGTCTGAGGGGTGGACCTGGGTGTCTTTCCCATCTTGGAAGGAAGCTAAGATGGAAAGAGAGGGGAAAATGGAAATTGAGATCCACAGTCCTTTCCTAACTTTGCTCATTTGGTTTCAGGGGAATTTATTCCCTGTCCTCCCTAAAGTGGAAGAGGTGAAAGCAAGGAGGGGAAAATTCACTCTCTTTTATGTCTTATGCTTTTTCCTGAACTTGCTGAAGGGACATGCTCTAGCTCCGGAAAAGCAGCATAAAAGGATTGGGACAGTTCTTTTATTTTTCCTTCTTTAGGGGCTTCTGTTTTTAATTCCTCTTCTCACATATACACACATGGTCACTCTGTCCTTCCTCTCTCTGTCCTTCTCTGTCTGAAAAGGGGAAACATCAGACATCCCTAGTTTGTAACAAATAAAACAAAACTAAACCCTCTTACATTTGATTTTTGGAAAATTTTGGCCTCTGGCCTTCCCTCCAGTGAGCTCCATTCTCTCCTCTTTCCCTAAAACTCTCCTTTGCCTTGGACCTGGCCACCTAGAATGGGATCAGGCTGGCTGGGAGGAGTAGGATGTCGGATGTGGGGACCGACCTGGGCCGGGGCTCCTAGCTCCAGCTGTCTTGGTCCACTGGATGCTGCTACAGCCTCACTGGGAAGCTGAGGGCCAGAGCTTTTATTGAAATTGGGTTGAGCAGTGGGAAAAGGCTGGGGGGGCGGGGGCGGGAGGGGGGTGGGGGGGGGAGCGGGGAGGACGCAGCCCAGGTTCACGGGGAGGACACAGCATTTTCTCTCCCATTGCCTTTATATTCGGCAGCGCCTCTGACCTCTCCCCCACCCCCATCTCCGACCCTCCCAAGCCAGCCCTTGCTCAGCCCCTGGTCTCCAGATAGGATGCCACTGCTTTTGTAGGGCTGGGGATTTCTTGCCCCGAGTAATGGGAGAGGCAAGACGCATGAATGCCTGCTAGCGTATTGTGTGTCTCTCCAATGGCTAAGTAAAAAGAAGACGGGGTGAAAACGGCGACACCAGTCTTCCAAGGTCCTTCTCTCCAAGCACCAGGAGATTCCCCACAGGTCAAAAATCCCCTTGACATGTAAGTAGTTAGCACTGATCGGCTCTGGGGGTGAGGAGCACAGCAGTTTCAACTCTATCTCTGTTTGCGGTTCAATTTTTATCTCAACTCCCGGTCTTGGTGAGGGAAGGCGGGAAATCCAATCAGGAGCGGAGGGCTTCTGCTTGGGAAGAATGGAGTTTCTGTGCAGAGTCGTGTACCTGAGGAGTGAAGAAACTTGGCTCAAAAAGGAGAGAGAGAGTCGAAAAAGTGAGCCTGATGGGAAGGACTGGGGAACTTTGTTTCTCTAAGGGCCTCTCGCTGCCACTTGTGTGAAGTTTCCTACAAAGTTTTCTCTGCAATCTGTGCATCAGCTTTTTTTGAGCATGGACTGGGCGGATTGCAATCCAGAGACATCTTCCTGCTGTTAGATGTATGTATATGTGTGTGTTTGGGGGAGTGCTAGGGAAGATAAACAATTAAGGGGTTCTCTGGAGCTTGGGGCCAGGGTACGCTCTGCTAGGCACAGTTTGTCTGCTTTTCTAAGATTAAAGAGACTGACTCCGAAGGGTGTCCTTGAGACGGAGGGTGCTACAATGGGGAGGAGCAGCGTGCTGGGGCAATTTCACCATCTTTTTCTCAGCTTTTTGCCCAGTCCTGGGGGAGCGTGGTTCACAAAGCCACTTCTCATGGTTTTCCACAGCTTCTATCTGGCACCCCACTTTTGGAGAGCTAATTCTTATGAAAGTGTTCCCCTTTCAAGAAATCCTTGTCTAACTTGGAAAAAGAGATGGAGGAACCCCCAACTCCAGCAGCCATCAGTTGCCGAGGGAATATTTATTACCTCTCTGGACATCATTACCTAAATACAATTTTATGAACTTCCTAATCTGTTAGCCTGATTTATCTGGATGGGTAGGGGCCCAAAATAAACATTTGGGAGATTTAGTAGAAAAAAAAAGTCTTTGCCTGTAACCAATCTTTCTGATGGAACTGACCACCCCCCTCAGCCTGCTTTTTCTGCATCCCATCTCGCTAGCCCCGTTTCAACTTTTCTCCTGCAGTGTGTGGCTGCTGAGTGTCCAAGTTTCAGCTGCTTCTTGAGAATTAAAAATGGTTAGGGTGAACCGTTTGAACCGGAGACCTAAAGGGCTCCCTCAGCCATCTTAAAACCTGTGCGGCTCCAGGAGCTCAGATCCCCTTTGGACTTGGGGAGCAGAGAGAAACCAAGGTCTGCTCACTGCCCCCCACGTCCAGGAGCCTCTTCTCAGGCTTGGCTCTCCCTCTATGCCTCGGGATTTTCCTGCTCTTCTCTCTGGTGTCAGCTCTGTAGCTTCTTTGAACACAGGATCCACCCAGAGGCCAAGCCCACAACCGTACAAGCAGGGGTAGGGTCCTCCGCAGCATTCACTGTCTTCCAGCCTGCCGCTTCCTGCAGGCCCAGCTAGCTGATGCACTAGGAGGCAGGGGAGACAAGAATGGGTAGGGAGGGTCTCAGAGTATGTTTGAGTGTCAATAGGGTTACACAGTCTAATAAATGGAAAGGGACTATTTTAAATTTCCAGTCCCCATCAGCAATTGCTAGGTTCCCTAAGATGTAGGGTCCTGTAGGATCCGCTCTGCCAGCTGCCAGTGGTGATGGGCTACGGATCCAGCCCGGAGAAGTGTCACCTCTACTCACTCCTTTCTGACCTTCTCTTCCAGCATCAGAGATTGGGAGTGGGAAGTATATTTGAACTTCTGGGCGGAGAAACCCTAGATCACAGCATATCTGAGGCACGGCCAAACAGCCCAACTCTAGGTTCCCGCTCCCGGCCTCTGGCTTCCCAGGAAGCCGGGAGTAAGACAGCAGGGCACAGAGCAACTGCCTGCATTCGGGCCGGGGCCGGGGGCAGGGTGGGGGGGGGAGTGGGGGTGGTCACAGCTCCCCTCTTCGCAGCGGCCAGGGTCTGGAAGATGGCGAAATGTGACCAGCCCGGGCAAAAGCGTGGTGCGAGGGCGAGATGCGAGAGGCCGCCGGCGGCCCGGCTCCTCCTCCGGTTTCCACGCCGCGTCCGCTCCGGGTGGGTGCGGTGTCGCCTTCAGCTGGGTCACGACCCCGGGCTCGCACGGAGGACAATAGGGCGCGGGGCGGGGGCCTAGGGCTGCGTGGCCGGCCGAGCGGGTTCACTGGGCGGTGAACTCCGCTCCACCTCCCGGGACTCGCCCTTTAGAGCCCAAGCTCCCTTTGCTTCCCCCTATTCCACCTTCCAGATTTTCGTGGAAAATGGAGCGGACTCTCGACGGCTCCTCTACCGACCCCCCCCCCCCCCCCCCCCGCCAAATAAGATTTCATTTTCTGGAAATGAAAGGATAGTTTTCTCTGAGTTACAAGAGCAGGAAATGGGACCCTCTCAAGATTTCTGTGTG